CATGGATTTAAAGATTTATTTACTGCCTAAAATCGAGTCACAATAATCATATTTTGGATGCTTAAATTTAAATTAATTTTATTGCCATAATTAAATTCATTTTGATATCAATCATGTATAATAAAACATTCATTCTTTTCTAAAATATATTTTTTCTGATTTTCTTAATTAGTCAGTCCTCATTAGAAAATTTATGAGAACTTATTAGTGATAGAATAGTATTACTAACCATACATTGGGCCAGCTTTACTACTTGAACGATTATTACTTACATTCCAATTAAATGTATAACAATTCCCGAATTCCGGATCAACGTGCAGTTTGAAATCAGCATCTGTAATGCTATTCTTATTTTTCCGGTTTCCCTAACATTTTTAATGACAAATAAATGTGCACTATTTGCATTCGTTCGAAACAGTTACCATCGATGATATCATTTCTGCTTGATAAATTTATTTTCAAAAAAAAAAAAACATAAAGAAATGGAATGTCAGAAGTTATTTGATATTTTAAAAAATTCTCGGTAATACAATTATGAATTAAATAGTACCAATATCGCATTCTTTCTCATTGAATGAACACATTTGGATGAATTCTCGTTTAGATTGAGAGAGCTTAATTCGTTGTACTTCCGAGAGTGCGCTCATGGTGAAGATTAAATTTTCTTTGGCACGTGTCAACATGGCCACACCGTCTGTCATACCCTTTAATCAATTGAAATGGTATAATTTAATCATCGATTTGAAAGAAAAAAAAAACATAAGAATTATATTCATAACTAAATGCGTTATAAATAATTCTGAACCAAAATGGATATTTATACTATCAATAAGCAAATGTTTCATTTGTCCACTACTAATTAAAATATGGCTTAGATTTGCACACAGATAACTATTACATTTTATTACCTGAATTATCTTAATAATTCCTAATAATTGATAATAAATAAAGAATAAAGGATAAAAAATCTCACCGTGAAACCCATTGCTTTAACAGTTTCTGGCGCAGTAACACGTACTGAATGTGGCGGCAGTGTCCTCGTCTTTTTTGTTGTTGTTGTTGTCGTTGTCTTTCTCGTTGTTGCTATTGTTGTTGTTGACCGATGTAACTTCGCAACCCATAATTGTTTCACGGCATTCAACGTTCGAATACAATACGGTTTCTTGAGGAGGATGAAGATTGGGCTAATATACAACCGGACAAAGTTTATATAACATGCATTTGGAAATATTATCAACATATTTCGGTATTGTAAGAATAAATTCGTTTCTTTTTTTAAACTTAAACAAACTTCTGATATACGCACTAATTTACTTACAAAAAGTTAAGGAGAAGAGAGGTTAAAAAGTTTTCCGGCAATTGTTCTACCTTTATTCTTTACTCTCATAAAAATTTCGCTTAGCTAACTTTTCTACCTTTTTCATGTGATAAATTCCCTGCTCTTTTTAAGGGTATTTTAATTTTAACATGAGGTAGCAAAAGAATAGTTTGGCTAATTTTTTGATTGAAGGAAAAATTGGTTTTAAGTTATATTTACCATTCAGCACGTATTGGAATGAAATTTATGAAAAGAACTTTTTCCTTCATTGACGTAGCAAGGACAAAAAAAAAAAATAACTGATAGTGATCCGGTTTTTTGGAAGATCACGCATGCGGCATTCTTTTATTTCAACCAAATATAAATATTCTGTAACTATTCACACAGTAAAATAATTACTGACTTTGCTCAAAAT